GAGCGAGTGTGTGTGTGTGTGTGAGAGAGAGAGAGAGAGCGCGAGCTTCACTTTCTCATATGAGTAAAGTGAGGAGATAACTGTGCTTAAGTTTTGTGGTGACTGGAGTCAAGGTCCCTGGTGTCAGGTCTGGACCTGCTTGCTTTCCTTCCTTCCTTCTTTTCTTCTACTTCTCTCTCTTGCTATGTGCAGACCCCATATTTATATGAAAAACTTACTTTGGTTCTTATGGAGTCCTTTTAGATGTACATGTGGCAACAAAAGGGGGCTTAGCTTGAAAGCTCTGTTTGGGGCAGTACCAGCAGAGGTTAAAAGATTGCTGTTCCTCCTAGGCTGAGTCAGGGGAGTGGTAGACTGCTGTTTCCCCTGGGAACAAAAGGGAGGTTGCAGAGCGCCTTGGAAATCCCACCCAGAGCAGGATCATCAAGAGCTAACAGAAGCTCTCCCAGCTCTTTCTAGGTACTGGGAGTTGTCCACAGAAGGAGACCGTGTTATCATGCCTAGAAGGAGAATTGCACTATCGTGCATTCCCATCCCATGCAGACCATAGGTTTTGTGAGCCCTGAGCTGACACAGGAGAGCGTCCAACTGATTCACAAGCACTTTAGATTGACCAAGCCCGTTTACTCCTCTTTATTGCCAACAGCTCCTGCCTGACTCACCCTTAGGCATGGCTGGGCACACCTTACTGTTTAACACTTGCAGGTTCGGCTCTGACCCTCTGCATGGCTGTGAGTCAGTGGATTGCCTGAGCACAAGCTGGGAGCTTTTTTACAGGATAGAGGGGCATCTATGAAAAGAGGGGAGGAGGAGGAAAAAAGGGAAGAGGAGGAGGTGAGAGAGAAATCGGCAGGCTAGTTTCTTGTGTTCAGAGCTGAAATAAAATGACCATGTGGAATAGACACTGAAGTTACTTCTTTCCAAATTATTTTTGATAATGAAGATTTAATTTGCTTTCTAGCATTACTGTAATATGTGCAACTTGCTGCTTTTTCAAACTTTTATGCTCCAACTTGCTCTTGGAATGTTATTGATTTAAGCAGCACTTTGTTTATGTTATTTTAATTTATTTTTAAAAAACTCCTTAGGCTAATTTAAAAAAATATCTAAAAAAACAAACAAACAAAAAGGCCGCATTCTCTCTCTTTGGCAGGTTTATTGATTTGTTTTTAAAATCTAAGTTAAAATGACAATGAGAGAGAATATTCATGGGGAAATCAACAGTTGCTGAACAGTATCCTCCCCTTTTTTTTTCCTGTGACAATATTAGTGCATTGCTGCCATGTTCAACAGCTTATAAGTTCTTTCACTGCAATCAGCCCAATTATTTGAAATTCCTGGTTGTTCTGACGGTGACTGATGCAATCTGATTAGGAATTCCCTGTTTCTGTCTGGTTTTGGGGATCATTATATCTAGTTGCTTATTTCCAATTCAACATCTGAATTAAGTTTACCCTCGTTGTTCTTTAGGGTACAAACCTTGTGTGATGATGAACACCATAAGCATTAAGTGGCTTCAGTAAAAATTGAAGGTACATTGCATCCCTCTGGGACAGGTTGCAGATAAGTATCTTGACTGCTAGCCTCCTGTCATGACAGGTGCAGCTGAAGTACCTGCAAATATCTCAAATAAGCATATGTTAGTTCTTTTTATCATGGAATAAATCTAGGAGACAATAATACAATAATATTCTAGAAAATGAGCATCTCATGTACTGAATGGGTTATGTTCATGTTTTTCTAAAGCTTAGAGATAGCAGATTCCCAACCAATTTATTCCTTCCCTCCTGCCTGCCCTGCATGTCCACTTATGTAACTACTGAAGTTGTATCATTAAAAGTTTACTGCTGTTTTCAACTTTGCTATGAGAAAAGGGCATGTCGTTTCCTGAAAATTTAGTCCTTGTGGGGAATAGTGGGACAGGTAGGGCAGTAAAAGATCAGTCAGGTTTGCTGGGATTTTCTGTTGACAGAACTGAAAACTGAGTGGAAGAACTTTAATGCCAAACTTTGCTTGGAGCCAAATAAAGATTTCTCTGTTTGAATAGTGCATTGTGGCCATCATGTACCTACTGTTACATTCTGGATACATTGTATCCTTGACATGTGGGTTGCAAGGCCCAGAAAATAAGCAGCTATCAAAGTAGATAAGATATAACCATTTGTCAGCAGCCTGGTGTCATCTATACTAAACAACAGGAGCTATCTTTGCAATAGTTTGTGAGTCTGAATGGTAGATTTAAGGTGCAAGATGTGCTTAAGATGCAGCAATAAATCTAGTGACAGTGAGACCTCAACACTTGAGTTATATGAACTAAGTCTTTCAGTCCAGGATTTGAGACTATAGTTTCTAAAACCTTCTATGAGGAAAGTATTGAAACTGACTACATTGTTACATGCAAACAGTCTAAAGCCTGTACCAGTAATATGAACACTAAAATCAACACATACAATGAAAACTGAATTGACAGGCCAGAATAGAAAATGAGAGAGAATATTGACCATTCATGAGGATCATTTTACTATGACAAAAATGATGATCAAAAAAGGCAGCCACACAGTGGTTACAGTTAAGGCTGCTGTAAAAATCAAAATATCAAAGAACCGTTCATGTTGGAAGGGACCTCAGGAGGTCTCTAGCCCATTCCAACCCCTTGCTCAAGGCAGGCACTGAATCCAGACCAGATTGCTCAGGACTTTGTCCAGTCGGGGCTTGAAAACCTCCAAGGATGGAGCTCCCACAACCTCTCTGGGCCCCTGTTCCACTGCTAGAATGTCCTCATGGTGAAAATGTTTTCCTTGGTTCCAGTGAGAACCTCTCTTGTTTCAATGTATGTGCCTTATCGCTTGTTCACCCACCATGCACCACTGTGAAGAGCCTGGCTCTCTCTTCTTAGTAATCTCATTGGTACTGGAAGGCTACGCGCCCCCCCCCCCCCCCAAGCCTTCTCTTCTCCAGGCTGTACAAGCCCAATTCCCTCAGCCTTTCCTCATAGGGCATGTGCTTCAGCTCCCTGAGCCTCTTGGTGACCCTCCACTGGACTCATTCAAGTTTATCAACATCCTTCTTGTACTGGGAGGCCCAAAACTGGACACAGTATTCCAGAGGCAGTCTAATGAGCGCCAAGTAAAGGGGGAATGATCATTTCCCATAATCTACTGGCTTGCACTCCTGTTGATACAGCTCAGGATACTGTTAGCCTTCCTCGCTGCCAGGGTGCACTGCTGGACCATGTTTAGCCTCCTGTCCACCAGGCCCCCCAGGTCCTCTTCAGTAGAGCTGCTACCCAGCCAGTCCCCAGTCTGTATTGTTGTCAGGGGTTCTTCCCTCTCAGGTTATGGACTTGAAATTCATCAAGGACAAATGCCATGAGGTTCCTGTTGGCCCAACCCTCTGGCTTGTCTAGGTTCCTCTGAATGGCAGCCCTGCCCTCAAGTGCACCCCCTCCCCCTGTTTGGTGTCATCCACAAACTTGATGAGAGTGCCTCCTCCAGGTTGTTGATAAAGATCCCAGAATAGACCCCCCCTGAGGATCTCCACTTGTAACTGGCCTCCAGGTAGAGTAAAAACCATTAACCACTCCTCCCTTCTTTGAGCCTGACAATTCAGATGATAGATTTTCATCCATCTAGTAGTTCACTCATCTAGACAGTAAAGTCCCAACTGGGATACAAGGATGTTATGGGAGACTGTGTTGAAAGCCTTGCTGAAGGCAAGGTAGCTGATGACATCCACTGCTCTCCACTCATCTGCTGATCCAGTCATTTTATCAAAGAAGGCATTCAGGTTCATCAAGCATGAGTTCCCCTTGGTAAATCCTTGCCAGCTATTCCCAATCACTTTCTTCTCTTTCACATGCCCAGAAATGGCTTCCAGGAGGACTTGTTCCATGATTTTTCTAGGGACTGAAGTGAGGCTGACCAGCCTGTAGTTCCCTGGATTGCCCTTCTTGTCCTTTTTGAAGATGGGTGTATTTACCTTTCTCCAGTCATCGGGGACCTCCCTCAATGTCCATGACCTTTCAAAAGTGATAGAGAGTGGCTTCACAATGACATCAGCCAGC